AACGGTATTACAGAAGGAAGAACATATAATATCAGCTGCCCCCACCCAAAATTCAACCAGGAGGGAATATGCTAGAAAAGGAGTCTAAGATATCTGTTATTTACTCTGAATGATAACACTGTCTACCCAAGAAAGAATTTGTTAAAGTATAATCGAGCCCTAGAAGCTTCTCTGGAAAATAAAACTATATATACCTCCCTTACACAGTCTTCAAAGAGGGTTTAAGACCACAACAGGAATAAGAAACCTCAGTCTCTAAGATTTGTTTTATTTAAGCACAAACAAGAGGAAATATGCATCCCTTTTTTTAACCTAGAAACATAAAAAGAGATATAACATGTAGTTTAAAGTCTCTTTAGTGGTAATATCCAAAGAGGTCACAAGATAAAGATATTTTTCCCCTTTCAAGTCTGTGCCTGGGCTCCCACTCTCTATGCCTTGTTCTTCATTTCTGGATGTAACAAAATCCCAGGACAGTTGGAGAATATTCAGAGGTCCCCACACCAAGGTGGCTTCTCTTCAGGAGACTCGAAAGACAAAGCATCCAGTGAAGACTGGGCCTCTCAACCACAGCAAGACAGACATTCTGAGTGCATAATTCTTTTGTGGGGGGTTGGGGGAGAGCCTGTTCTGGGAAACATCCAGGCTTTACCCACTAGATGTTAGTAGCAGCCTCGCACCCACACCCCAGTGACAACCAGACACCGAATGCCCACAGGGGGACAAAAGTGCCCCAGATTCAGAACCCCTGACTTAAGGCAAGACAGCGTCTAAAAGGACAAACAGCTGATACCTGCTGTCAGACACTGATGACCTTCAGACAAAAGGATGCAGTGGCAAGGCCCATGGGAACCTGAGATGCTTCCGGCTGTAATTTTCCCACATGCGCCCATGGGGAGAAGAGTCAACCCTTACAGGAAGTGTGTCAAGGAAGCAGGGAACAAAAAAGCTAAGGAAACATGATCCGCTCCATTTGGAGGAAGACCCAGGAAACTCAAGAGCTAATTGGGCAACGTCAGGGTTATTAAAGAGGGCAGGACACAGAGGAGGAGGGAAGGGGGTCACACTGAGGCCAAAAAGGGGAAGGACGGATTGGGAGCCAGACCAGGAGCTGAGTGCTCCTGGGACTCAGCTATGAAAGCAGGGCCCTGCACAGTGGTCAATGTCCCACCTGAGAAGAAGGGTCACCTCCCAAACTCACTTCACAGAAAGAGTGGAGAAGGAAGAAAAGATTGCCAAAGTAGAACACACTAGTATCTTTAAATTCTTTACTTGTTCCTTCCAGATATTTCTAAACTGGTCCTTAAATCTTTTTCATCATTAAAAAAAAAAAAGAGGGGAAAAAAAATCAATTACTTCAGAGTCATCTCCTCTCTCCACCTTTCCACCCCCTAAAAATCAAGAGTAAAGCTAGTAATTGGTGTGCTCCACAAAAGAGAGACAAAGGTCAGCCATGGGGAAATTTGGGGATCCCCAGAGAGGAAGTCTCTTCCTTCCTTAAAATTTCCTCTCTAGGAATATGTATATTTACATCTCTTCAATTCTGCTCTGATTTTTATTTTGTAAACCATAGATATGTTCACTGTTTAAGACTTTGCAATCATGAAAAACTTTTAAGAAGTGATGATTACTTACATCTCTTCAATTCTGCTCTGATTTTTATTTTGTAAACCGTAGATATGTTCACTGTTTAAGACTTTGCAATCATGAAAAACTTTTAAGAAGTGATGATTACTTCCCTAAAGGAAGTGGTAATGACACATAGAGAAATCAAAAGGGGTAACACAATGAAAAGACCAACTATGAGCTAAGGAATTTCAGTTTGATTTTTCAGTCTTTTTAGAGGTTCAAAATGACAGTATTAAACTAAATGTCAGATTTTTTAATTGCTGAAATCACCAGAAATAACCAAAGGTGCTATAAAACAGGGCTGCATCTTCTCGTATATTACAAAATTCTTCAGAGGAAGAAAGATTCTACATATCTAACATTTGGGAAATTATCCTTATTCATAGAAGGGAAGAGAAAATGTAACAAAGGACAGCAGCTGCAAGACCACTGGTGCTGGCCAGCAACTGCAAAGACAAAATGGAATGTTCAGGTCCAAGTGGCACATAAATAATCAACAAACAACCCCCACGGTAAAACCCTTGACCAAGAAAGAAGTTATGCCTTGAATGATTAACCTGTTCTATAACATCCACTACCAGAGTGAGATGTTGTTGTCCCAAACCACTGGCTTGAGGATTGAGATACGAGTGCTAGTCACAGCTTAGGATAACTAAACTTTGTGATTTGGGAACATCACACATTCTTCCAGCCTCAGTGTTTTCATCTATAAAATCAACTGGTGTATGAACTAGTACTTACCAGTTTCTTTCTTTTTTTCTTTCATTCATTCATTCAGTCAGTTAGTCAGAAAATAAATACTGTTTTTGCGGAGCCATAAACGTCAAGCACTATTCCAGGTGATTCTGGAAATGGCGGTGAACAAAAAAGATAGACTAATATTCCCTAATGGAACTTACATTCCAGATTCTGAAACTTATTATAATCAGCGTTTTCAAACTACGGGTTGTGAAATCCACTTAGCAGTGCCAGATGAGCATTTCAAAAAGAAGAAATGGAATAGAATAGTATAAAATGTGAGAGCATATCACACATGGTAAGGATAACTTCTGTTTCATAAAATTTTGCTTCAGTTATCGATAGGTATTTTGTATTTATGAGAATTGTGGGTCAACAGGTATAAGGCATTTCTGAGTTTGGGTTGGTCATGCCAAAACAGTTTAAAAGTCCTTGACAAAAGACTGCTTTTTGTTCCAGCCACTGGCTTTCATCCTAGCCCTCACTCCCATGGCTTCCTTACATCCTGCCCATAGATTAAATTTCATTACTTTCTCATTTGCCCCATGATGATATTTTAGATAAACAAAGTACATATTTATTTCAGATCAGTGTTCCCAACTTTCTGAGTAGAATGCCTTTTTATGTCAGTCCTTTTTTTCTGCACTACTTGTCTGCTAATTCAGCAAATGCATAGAGGCCGAAAGCCACATGAACATTTAAATGGGTTCATAATGCACTGGTGCTAAGAGCTTCCATATAGAAATACAAAGAGTACAAACACACAAAAGACATATTATTCATTCCATCTACACACAATGCTTGTGGCTGAAACAGGTTCACAGGCTTCTTATGCCCCGAGGGGTCCCTGGCACCAAGACCAGTAATCACTGTTCTAGGTCTCCACTTTTATTTGTCTATTTTAGAACCACTGTGTTCTTACCAGATGACTACTTATGGTGGTTTTTGCTTGTTTTAATGCTCACTCCCTGTCCTTTCTTTTAATCAATGCAAACTATTAAATTTGAGCATGCGTAGGTGCATGAGTTTGTTTTTAATTGTTGTTCATTTGCTTGTTTATCTTTTTTTTTTAATCCCCTTACTCCAGACTCCTTCAGACAGCTACCAGGAATTGTGAAGATAATTTTTCAAAGCATGCCTTGAGGCATACCCAACCCTACAACTGCCTTTGCTTTGACAGAAAACATCCAAAGGCAGCCATGACTGTACCTGGGAAAGTGAAAGAAAGTGAAACAGAAAAGTAGAAGAGAACTAAGAGAGGCAACATAAATCTTCCTGGGAACGTCAAACCCTAGTATACTCACTGCCAAGGTCTACCTGAGATCACACAACTGCAGCCCTGGCTTCTCAAAGGTTTTTATGGTCCCTTGTCACTTAGGCTTTACTCTATTCTCAAGCTACAACCTCCCCACTGGGTGTGCAGCTCTTACACATAAAGTATTATTATATCTTACTATATTACACATAAGTTAGAATGCATAATTTCATTCTTTCAGGGGCTGGGCAAAGGGGCAGCCCAGTCCCTTTTACCCACTGAGGTCCAAGGTGAGCCACATAGACGAGGGAAGGTCAGCACAGAAGGAAGCTTCCAGGCAATCTGACGCCCCCAACAGACATCCAGCTGTTGCCCATCAGCCCCCAAGAGACCAGCTCTACCTCCTGTTATCTTCAACACTGTTCCCTTCCTGGAAATCCAAACTGCACACCCCCAAAGGTGGCTATCAAGAGCAACCAAGTGCTAGAGGAAAGTTGCTTCAGCATCTCTTTGTTGTCAGCAAATATACAAACCTAAATACTTATAACTAGGTGTGTCATGCTGTTGGTTTTTTTTTGTTTGTTTGTTTGTTTTGTTTTTACCATTTTTTCCCCTAAACTACTCATTCTTTAAGCTTAAAAAGAACAAAATGTGGCCTATTCTTCATTAACAAGGGAAAAGTTAACTTCTGGGAAAACGTGGATGTTTCTCCAGCAAGTTACATAGGAGGTCACTTAGCCATTGCCCAGCACTGGCTGCCTCGGGCTCTGTGCTGCCTTGTGCTGATAAACTAACATCCTCCCCGAGAGCAGCTCCTGGCTCCAGGACAATCTCAGGTTCCTGGCCTCCAGAACAATCTCATGCTGGTACATGTGAAAGAATAACTGCTCCAGAGGTACAGAAATTTCAAGTTTTCTTTTAAAAAAACTCTTGCCTAAGTATTTCTGTAAGTTGCTGTCAGTATTCCATAACAAAATCTGGAACATTCATTAGCAATACCTTCAATTTAGTCAAGGTCTCAGATGCTTAACCCTCACTTTACCAAACAAAAATCAGGGGAGTCTTCATAAATTACATAGGCAACTAGAAGCCAAGGCCTTCAGATTCCTCCTTTTTTGTTATTTAACAGCTCAACGAACTCAAAGTGATCAGAAGAACTCTAATGATCATATAAATAGTACTAACTTTAAAATCTAACTTCACAGTATACATTACTTGTATTTAATGAGCCATCTCTTTACTTTAAATCTAGAACAGTTTCAACCAGTTACAACACAGCAACACCCTGAAATGTCATTAATAGTTTTAAAGACAGGCAAACCCAAGTTATGTCTAGGTTTGATTACAGCAAAGTTAATTTTACGAAATTACTAGTTACCAAATTTCTGAAGAGTAGGTGATCCAGGTGGCGATGAATTTCCAGTAGGAGACAAGTAGAGATAGCTTTTGTTCACTCCCGTATCAAAATCAAACGGGGACTGGTAGTCCTCATATAAGTCCATCTCTCTACCATCCATTCCAGACAAACGCAGGACGCATGGCTTTCTAGCCAACTGATGTTCCTCAGCGGAGCACCACTTGGGCCATATTCCCTTCACACAATGCCACCTCCCTGAAGAAATCAAGCCCAGGGTTTAATGGCCCTGGCTTCCAGGCTCAGGTGCAGCATTTCCTTCTGGGAGCCTTCACGCCCTCATGACAAGCAGACCTATTTAATAGATGACTTATTCCGAGCAACCTTAGGAGGGGCACTGTTCGCCACCTGTCGTTAATTTCGGTCAACAGTGAACAACCAGGCGGGGGAGCAGAGCTTTCTTCGGTAAACAAAGGAGGGCCTGGTTCTGCAGTATCGCTCAGATGTACAAACAGTTCAAGCAGACCTCAGAAACTGGCACAATTACAACCAGAAACTACAATTTATTTTTCTAAACAGCTGACCACAACTGCACCAGGGCAGACTTAATCTTCTAGGACAAGGAAGGATTACCAGTCAGTAATCTCCGGCAAATGCCATCTGGGTGATACTTTTTTTCCAGCCTGGATTACAGGAGAATTCTGAAAGCCAAGCTTCCTGGTTTAGCAATCAGCTTTCTAACCATAACTGAGTACAAACATAAAGTTATATTACCATTATTACTTTATCTAAAGTACAGTCTGGCTGAATGTCACAAAAATTTCAATCTGACTTCTTTCTTTTTCTTTTTTGAAAAAATAGTGTTTCAGTTACATGCACCGAAAAGAGAAGACTCAACTTGGAAGTTAAAGTCCCCAGGTATTCCCACAGCTTCCTTGTTTGACTAAGGACACGGCAAGAAGACTCAACTTGGAAGGTAAAGTCCCCAGGTATTCCCACGGCTTCCTTTTTTGACTAAGAACACGGCTCTGCAGATGCTGCAATAAACCTGTGTGCAAACCGCCCTGAAGAGTGACTAGGCCACAGTTAGCTTGTAAATAAGATTTCTAAGTCCATCAAATTCATTTCCTTTGAGACAAGTCTCTTAGCAGAACATTGCTATGCTAACTATGGCCTTTGCTCAAGCGATGGCAATTGCAGCCCCTGCTGGTTCTAATACGAAGTACTGAGGTAAAAATAAACAGGACCCTTTCCCCCTTAGGTGGCAATGGTCTGTCACTGCATAACAAAGAAAGGCAGTGTGATACCTTTTCAAATCTACCTGCTAATAGGAAGCCTAATATATTTTAAGCATTTAAGTTAGTGTGTGTCTAAGTGTGTAAAATATATATGCACCAAGATAGTCTATATCCATCTCAACTCATGAGTGATTTTTTAATTTTTCTTTTTGTTAGTCTCATGTACTCTATTTATGGGAAGTCTTTATCTTATTTCTGTTTTTTTAAAAGTCTATTTTTAACAAAAAAAATCTATCTGGATTTTTCTCCTAAAAGGTACCAAAATTTGGACAACTATAAATGTTGTTTACTCTATATTTAGAAATAAAATAAATGGTTTGTTTTTTATTATTATATGAAAGAATGAACCGTCTGGTGTCTTGAAATCCACGGTGTCTCTCACTGATAGGACAGGCATCAGAGTTATATCCCTGGACTAGAGTGTAGGTCATGGGGTACATGGCCCTTTCCTGTCTCTCTGCATTAGGTCACCGAACACTGGCAGGAAATGCATTTCTCCCTGACTTTACTTGTTCCCCCTCTTAGCGTCACAGGTATTTGAAGGGAGTAACACTGACAAAGATACAGTGTAAGCCACAGCCACCTCCACACTTCTCACCCTCTCTCAACCCCATGTCCTTGACCTTTGGCATTGACACCCATGTACACCCTCCACCTGAAATGCCACTTTTTCTCTGCTTGCCAAAGTCATTCATCCTTCCAGACTCAAGACAGAAATGCCACCTCTTCTCAGAAGCTCTCCCAGATTCTGTCCCCTGTCCTCCCCGAGCAGCAGCACACAGAATGTGAAGTGCCCCCAGCCCATGTGTGCCGCTCCAGTCCCCCCACCAGGGCTCTCTACTGGAGCAGCTGCCCTGAAGATTCAGCTCATAATCAATGTGGAGGGAAAAACAAATGGCTTATGTAGACATGACATGTCTTATTCATAAATGTGAGGATTTAGAATTTAAGAAACCATCTACCATTTTTACTCCACTGGCTTAGGTACACTTTCAGGACTATGATGTAACATCCTGGCTCTTTGAACTGTTTACATCTCCAGTCAGATGCCTCTCAGTCAAGACACTGTAGCCTGTGAGGAAAGTGAAAACAGAGAACCAGAGGTGGGGAAAGCATGGAATGGGCTAACGAAATACAGTTAACAATTCAATTGACTCAAGATTCACATACAAAGTAGACAGGAGTTAAAGAAATAAAAAATGGAAATGTAGCTTTGGGGAAGACCACTAACGATCTTGAGTGACCAGTTTTTACACTTTACCAATATACTGTACAAAACAAACAAACAAACAAAAAAATGAGAGGTTTTGGAGCCAGGCAGAGACAGTATAAACGTAAGTTTTACAAAGAGGACTCTGGAAACGGTGTACAGTATGCACTGTAGGTGTAAAGAGGCTGTGGTACAATCCAGGCAAGAAGAAGGGAAGTCTGGGTAGCAGTTGCAGCTATTTTTCTTCCCTGCTGTGGGCTAGGTGGCCCGAGGAAGAACCGGAAAGATTTGGTCTTGTCCTACTGGACATTTCCACATGACTGTTCCAAAAGTACTTTGAAATCAACATGCACAAGACTGAACTCACTTGTTTTCCTCAGGATGTTCTTATCTCTAAATTGGCCATCTTGAGCCTCCAAGGCCTGACCCAAGCATTCTCGCTTTATAAGGAAGCACACTGAAAGTGGCCACCCAAGCTGTGCCATATGCCTTCCATCCTTCTCTTTTCCAGTGTCACTGACCACATCATACTTCAGACCTACCTGGAGTAGTCCAGTAGAGACCAGGCCAAACAACAACGTGGTGTGTGGTCATCTGCTGTCTTGTCTATTTGGCACCCTCTTTCCCTTGAGGAATTCCACCTCACTGCTCCACAGGGTTCCAGGGAGAGTGGGAGAAGTGACCATAGTTCCCACCTATTCCCTGGCCTTAGACATGAGCCTGAGCTTCAGATCTGGCCCACGCACAAACCCCATCCCCTTCCTCACAGGGACTGGCCTTAGGTTAGACATCTGATGTGACAGTGCCAATCAATGCCTTCCCTGATGTTTACTCAATGAGTAATGGAAGAAAGTGACTCTCCCTATAGCCTGAGTTGTTGGTTGCTGGTTTAGAGGGGAAGTGGGCTCCTTTCCTCCCCATGCCAACAGGCAAGAGAACCAGTGCTGAGACTGGGAAGGGACAGAAGGAGAGACAGAGACAGGTGAAGGAAGGAGCAAGTGGCATCTGAGCCCCTGCATCCAGCTACCGTTGGCTTCTTAGTTATTAAACAAATAAATTCTGCTTCACTTATGGATGGAGTTGGATTCTATCATTTCAATAGAGAGAGTCCTACATTACCTACTTCCCGACCATATTTCCCACTACTTCCCAACCATGTTTCAGCCAAACTTGATTTTCCTTTTTCTTGGACACATGCTAAACTTGGTCTAGACAATTTTCTCAAACTAGTCTCCCTGCATTTTTACCTGTCAAATCTCTTTCACTTATCAAGCTCTACTTAATAAGTTACATACGAATGGTATATGTACAAGGGATGTTCATTGTAGATACTATCTGATGTAGAAAAAACGACAATACAAATGCCTACTAAAAGTGGATTATTTAAATGCTAAAAAGAACATTCACGTTATAGAAAAATATGCAAACATTAACATGATGATGTAAAAAAAAATACATCTTTTAACATGAAAAGATATTCTTGATACATTCAGTAATCAAAGCAGGTTGTATTTTAGGATCCATATGTGTAATTGGAGAGAAGGAAACCAGCCAATCAAAAGAAAGAAAATGGGCAGGAAGAAAAATCCACGGCATACAACCCCAGAAAAGTGCTCATGCACTGCAGAGCCAGCAGAGGGCGGCCACAGAAAGCTCAGAAATCAACTCAGTGCAGCTGGTAAATTGTGTAAAATGGCAATAACCCATTAGACCACTCTTGTTAAAGCAAATAGAAATGGGAGTATATACAACTGACTATAAAGAAAATTGTCTGTCTGCCTATTAACACATCCCTCAAATATGTCAGCATTCTCCCCAAATTTGAAAGACTTTTAAGGGATAGTCTGATTTAAAAGCTGTAAGACATACAAAATTTACTTGGAGGACCCCTGAAGAGTATCTCAGAGAGACCATGTGGCTGCCCAAGAGGACAGGCACTCAGACCACGTAAATGTGTCACGGTGACACCGCAGCCAGCTTGAGAGGCTCTGATTAGCCAAATATGGGACAATTGAAGAGCCAAAATAATTAAGGATAGCAATAAATTAGACACTGTTTGGCAATATTGGAATCCAAGAGTCCACACAAAAAATAGACAAAGAGGGAGAAGGAAAACTCTCAATTACAGAAGAATGCCATCCTGACCATCATTGTAAAGATTCAGGCAAGATAATCAATGGATGCTAAATCTAGGGAGAAATTTTGATAAAAAATGGGATATTTATATGGTCTTAAAAGTGCCTACCCACAAGCAGATAGACGAGTGTTCTCAAACATGACACTCTGAACACCTACTTAGCGTTCAAGCTAAGAAGGCAGAACCTGAATCCAGGAAGAACCTGATCATGAGGAAACATCAGACAAATCCTAAAATGAGGAAGGTTCTATTTTTAAAAAGGGGAGATGGCTGCATTCTTCATAAACATCAATGGCATAAAAAACAAAGACTGTGAAAATGATCCATGTTAAAGGAGACCAAAAAGATACAACTAGAAATCATACCTGATCCTAGAATGGGTCCTATACTGAAGGAAAAAAAAGAAATCCTATAAAGGACATTACCAGGTCAGTTGAAAAAATTGGACTACGACTGCAGATTAGATAAAAATCTTGTATCAATTTCAAATTTATTGAAGTTGACAACTGCACTGTGGTTATATATCGAACTAGCTGCCTTCTTAGAAAACACAAACTGAACTATTTAGGGGCAAAGGACCATAATGTATGCACCAAAGGGGATATGGTCTGAGAAATGCATCACAGGCAATTCTGTTGTTGTGTGAACATCATAGACTGCACTTACACAAACCTAGATGGTATAGCCTACTGCAAACCTAGGCTATATGATACAGTCTATTGCTCTGACCACCACTGTATATATGGCCTGTCGTTGAAATACTAAGTACTATGCACATGTAGATGTACATACACACACACACACGCACACACGCACGCACGCACGAATGATAAAACGGATGGGGTAAAATGTTAACAGTAAGTGAAACTAAGTAGAG